TTTTGGCGCATTATCATTTTATTTCGATTCTTCGTGAGCAAGGTCGAAGGGATATCTTTTACCCTCGACCATCTCATTAGACTAAATAGCCCCCCGTCTCTATCGAGGTGGATTAATAAGGCTTCAGCGTCGGGCTACCAAGGTGTTGTTCTCGAGCATAGACGAGGACAAGGATTGAAGACAGGTGGGCCGGTTTATCCTAGTGAGGAATTCCGACATAATCCCGACCGAGAAGATGCCATTCCCCGAAGAATGGAACATGAAGCATAAGTACAAACCCACCTATAGCTTCCATTTGCTATCTTGTTTCTTTTGCCTTTCCTCATTAATATTCCTTCTTATGGTATAATGGCTCCTTGGGTGCCTGGTGCAATTCCGAACCTCGAGGGATGGGTTCGAAAGCTAGCATTGACCTCTTCGTACGTTGAGCACTCATGGAGCGATTTGTTAAGGGGTCGATGGGAGCCCAAAAATCATGGTAAGCCTTTTTATACACATTTGATGCTTTTCTCTGAAATGTTTCTCTTCATTTGTACTTGATTTCCTTTCATACAGGTCTTGGAGATATTGTTGTTAAGAGGCCCTCGTCTGGGGAGGAAGAGGTTCTGCCCCCGGTCCCGGAGCCGTCGAAGGAGAAGAATAGAAGAAGGGTCTCACCTTTCGAGACTCCAAAGCCTAAAAAGAGCAAGGCTCGTAAGTCGAAGAATGACACCGCCGCCCTGCCTGCCGATGTAGCTCAGCGACTACAAGATGAAGAAGAGGAAAAAGAAGATGTTGACTTCGAGCTGGTGGCTCGAAAGGGGAGCGTCGAGGTCCCAAAGGCCGCTGAGCCGGTGATGATCGAAGAGGTTCAGCCTCGGACCGAAGAGATCTTGGAGGATAGCCCGAGCAAAGTCCCTAAGTCGCCGAAGGCTGAAGATACCCCGCGCCGTGACGGGCAATCGGTGGACGTACCTGAAGGGGCCAGTTCTGAGGCCCTCGAAACGAAGAGAACACCCCAAGTGAATTGCTTGGGGCAATAGATATTAGCGATTCGCAACCCCTCCCCACATTTTTTGAGGGTTAAATTTAGGAATCCCAAGCCATGGAAACCCCTGATGTAGGAATGGCCCACGAAGGGGAGGACCTTTCTCATGGTTGCTTCACGGGAGTCGAAGATGCTTCTGATTTGGGGAAGCATCGAGTATCTTCAATGAGGCTAAGCAATTCTTGAGTCAGGTAAGCTTTATCTCCATTTATCAATATTATCTTTGCCTTTATTTCCTCTTGCCTGATTTTCTTTCCTTCTTCATAGGCTTTGACGCTTCATCAGAAAGCATTTTCTAAATCCCGGGCAGAGCTGAACCGGTGTGAGGTCGATCTTAGAAGGCTCATAAAGGAGAGAAATGCCCTTAAAATCCTCAATGGGCGAAAGGAAAAGAAGATCAAGGACCTCCGAGCAGAACTAGACACAACTCACAAAGAGCAGATCGACCTGATTGAGCAGGTAGAACAAATTCCCTTAGAAGCCCGATACATCAATTCGGGAATGACGACTAACACTTCGACCTTGCAGGTTTAGCAGAAGGCCGAAAAGATCGAGCAACTTTGCGAGGAGGCCAAGATGAAGAAGGTAGAGACCTTGGGGTGGAAGCAAAACACGGACCACCTTGCCTCGAAGAAAGATACTGCTCGGGCCCAGCTATCTTCGGTCGAACGTTAACTCCAAAGCATGAAGGAGGAGAGCTTGGCCCGAGCCAAGAAAATTAAGGAGCTCGAGTTTCGGTTGGCCGCTGAGCTTGCAAATGTCACATCTGAGGTAGAAAGAGTAAAGGCCAACGCGGATATGGTCATGGCCGTCTACCGAGCTGATGCTAAAGATGCTCACGCTCTAGCAAAGGAAATTTCCGATGCTGCTTAGGTTCGAGCATTCCGCGTTTCCGAGCATGACAAATTCCAGTATCGGAGAGAGACTCTCGAGGAGATTCATGCTCGCGACTTTGACCTTACTGTCGATATTGAGAACGCGAACGTACTCGAGGTCGAGGCTAAAGCGTTTCTCTCTTCTGATGACGATTTCGGGAGCTCGTGTGGATCCGAGAGTGGAGGGGATGAAAATGAGGCTCCCGGGGAAGATTAGGCACTTAGAATTTTTTCTTTTTTGGATTTTTTGTGTAAGACCCTGAGTGGTCTTTGTAAATATTTTTGCATATATGGAAGATCCCTTTTCTTTCCGACTCGTCTCTAATTTTTGTTTTGTGAAAACTCTATTTTGCTTTTCTTGTGAGAATTTCGACTCACTTCGTTACCTTGCGAAAACTTTGTCGAAGTCAGATTAGTATAGTCTCTATAATCGAGTGAGTATTTGCTCGAACTCGGAGTAGAAGAAACCCTTAGGTTTCAGTTGAGCGAGGGTGGATTCTCGAACTCAAAAATATAATGTCCCTTAGGCTCTTAAATAGGGCCGATATGGCCTTAAAAGAGTGGATCTTTCCCTTTTCGGCTTAAAAAGTTTAATCATATAAAAATTCGTTATGCCTTAGCATGAGATAAATTTGTATCCATTAGGATTCAGTGTTATCGAAAACCTTTTACTTTGTTATGCCTTAGCATAAGTTTGTTCGAGAGTTCGAACAATTTTTTTTTTACCCTTGAGGTTTTTGAGGGTTGATTTTATCGAAACCCTTGGTAATTTTGCCGAGGGTAGACCTTTTAACTAGTTTTATGAAGATATTTGAAGGTCTGTTTCATTACGGAATTCGAACGTCTCTGAACCGTGTTAGTTTGGCCGTAGCCTTTAACTTGAGATTTGCCCTTTGGGCTTGTTTCTCAATAATACTTCGAACTTGTTCGAAGCACCAGTCCCCGAGTGGGGTTGCCGTGACCTAAAAAATCGAGGATTGCCTTTTCAAGGTCTTATGGTCTCGAAGTTTAATAATTCGAACATGTCGATTTTTGGACGGCAGTCCCCGAGTACGGGGTTGGTACCTCGAGCTTTAGTTGCGATTGGCGCTTGAGCCGGTTTCCGTAATAGATCATAAGTAAAGCAAATATTGTAAAGTAGAAATTGTAAAGTAAAAATTTCACTAAGGCATGAAACACTTCTTTCAATAGATCATTCCTGCTTACATGTTTTGCCATCGGGGCCCGAGCAATCTATATGGGCACGGTTCATTTGACCGTTTGGCCCTTTACAAAATTTACCTATCGAGATCCTGTTGATACGAAGTATTTTCCTTGAGAACATAACATCCGAGGGTGATGCCCCCAGTATTCGAGGTTGATTGTAAAGAAGCCTCGGATACTATTGAAGCCTCGGATACTGTTTATCCTAAAAACTGGATATAATTAAAGTTATAATGTGGTTTTAAGGATCCATGATTTCACCTAATACCAATTGATAAACGTGAAGATAAATGATGGAAATTGGCAACAATGTAAAGCAAACCAGTGTTTGGCCAGAGCCCTCGAGGTAGTACACCCTCGAGCTAGTTGTGCTATAACAGTTAAAACATAACAAGTTGATGAACAAGATTAAAGAATCAATATCGTATTCCTTTGATCTGTATGAATGTCCGGTCGTTACAAATGATGGGGACTCCCCTTTATATAGTAGAGTAATCCTAATTATGGTATAACTCTAATTACATAAGTAAATCCCATGATTAGCTTAAACCGCCCTTGATTTGATCTGTTCCGAGATTTCAGCCGTGGTCTTTGACCGATTACGGATACCTCGCCTTTCCGTTATTGCTCATTGCTCGAAGTCGGTCATATTTAGTCTCGATTGCTGTTGGCCACGATCTCGACGGGCACCTCGATTCTCGAACTCGACACCTCGTCTGCGTGCTCTAGCCCGATCCATTATGAGGGTGACCCTCGACGTGATCCCCTGGTCTCGATTAAATAGCAAAATTGGGCAAGCCCGATTTTAACCGTATACAATATTTCATTAAGCACGATTAAGAACGTGAATTTGAGATTTGTTCACGTTAATGTTACTGATAAATTTAATAATGCTACTTATATATCTTAAAAATTAATATTAAGAAAAAATAAAATGTACGTATATATTATAAAAATAATATTAAGTTATTTTAATTATAAATAAAATATCTGGGTAAAAGTATATTATATAGCATATACTATAGAAGATATTACATAAGTGCGAGGATTTATAATACTAACGGTATAATAGACTTTTCAGGTGAAAGTTTTATAAAATCTGGTCAAAGTGATTATTGTGATAACTAGAGCATAGTAAAATAATTTTTGTGTAACAAAAAAAAAAAGAAAAGTAGCTTTTAAGTAATGAACACAAAGTTGAATAGCTTTTACGTAACAAAAGAAAGGAAAATAACTTTTGAGTAATGAACACAAAGTTGAATGATCACCTATTAAATTTACTGTCAGAAATGCTAGGACGAAAAGTGTTTGTATTATCAATTTCAAGTCTTTTATTCAATTATATAATTGCTTATTTATTAAATTAATTACAATACATGAAAATATTTTTCAGCATCAAACTATTTAAAATCAGCTAATTTAAATGGGCTCCAAGTTACGAAGCACGATATTACTACTAGAATGGGACCATAAAACAATCATAAACATAATTTATAAACATAACCACCTTTCTTTTTAGTACTTTTTGTTATTCTTTTGGGGTTTTTTTAAAAGATCTTTTGTTAAATTTAGTGTTGTAAACTTGGACATGATTAATTAACAACTTTGTCAGTTACACTGACTACTTTAACATAATTCCAGATTCTCAGTTTCTTTGCCCTTCTAATGCGTACAACCACGTTATTAGGGGGCGCGTGTTTCGTGTGTCCTTATCCGGCCCCAGCACTCCAAAGACCTTTGATAATACAGTGAATATATCGTACATCTTCCTGAAAATCTAACCGTCCATCATGTCTAGAATCATATTAATCCTAATATCTGACGGCTAATAAAGAAAGAGCACGTACACAAGGATTTCAAATTAAATAACGCAACACAAGAGACCACAAAACCAGAGGACTCAATAGCCGCTTGATTCGAAACTACCCAACTTATAATCATGACAAGAATCAATCAAATGGAGTAGCTTAATACGAAGCTACCTATTCTCTCTCTTTCTCTTTATTTCTCTCTTCTCTCTCTATAAGGAAACTGTCTTTTTTCTTGTAATGCAGAATTTTGATAAATATCCAAACTTTTTGCATTAGTTTGAGGTTTCTTTTGCAGATCGAAAAGCCCATTTGGCCGGAACAGATTAAAAATGTCATCAGGTTTTACCGGCGACTTCTACGGCGCCGGTGGGATTAACACCGGAAGATCTACCATGAATAACAACACACTCAGGTCTCAGCTTTCTGGAATTTTGCCCGACCCGGCTACCCAGATCGTTCTTGGGAGACCCAATTTAATGGGGAAGCGATCTCTTGCGGAGTTTCAACAGCAGCAGCAATTTCAATTTCTACAACAACAAAATCAACAGCAGCAGATGATTCTACTACAACAACAGCAACAACAAGGGCTTGGCTTTTATCTTCGTAACGTAAAGCCCAGAAATTACCAGCAGGCTTCTCCTATAGATTTTTCTGTTGCTGCTGCTGCTGCTTCCTCAATTTCATCTGAATTCTCTTCGTTTTCTTCGAATTCAAATGCTTCTACGATGAACACGCGCCATACTCTCCCTGTTCTTCAACAACTACGGTCACAGCCCGCTTTGCCTTTGGCTAATACTAATATTAGCGGATTCTCACATCCGGGTACCCACAATTATTCCACAGGGGTTCATAACAGAGCAACTATTGGACAGGAATTACTGTCCCAGGAATCAGAGAAAAAGATGATGAATCAGCTTCAGGAGCTCGAGAAACAGCTCCTAGACGACAACGATGACGAGGACGGCGATACAGTTTCAGTTGTCACCAACAACGAGTGGTCAGAGACAATACAGAATCTGATTAGCCCCTGTCAAAGCCAAAACCAAAACCAGAACCAGAATCAGAAACTTGCTTCACTATCACCATCCTCGTCGACGTCGTCATGTGCTTCTTCTACAGAATCTCCGCCAATTTCTTGTCCCAAGCAGTCAATAACAGAGGCTGCTACTGCAATATCCGAAGGTATAAACCATGTTGCAGTAGAGATCCTCACGCGCCTGGCACAGGTTTCCAACGTCAGAGGTTCTTCCATCCAGCGGCTAACAGCATACATGGTTTCGGCTTTGAGGTCGCGCGTGAACCCCACGGATTACCCACCGCCGGTGTTGGAGTTGCACAGCAAAGAACACACGGTATCTACACAGAATCTATACGAGGTATCCCCATGTTTTAAACTCGGTTTCATGGCTGCGAATCTAGCCATTCTTGAAGCTGTGACGGACCACCCTACGAACAAGATTCACGTCATTGATTTTGACGTCGGCCAAGGCGGACAGTACTTGCATTTACTGCATGCATTGGCTGCTAAGAAATCAGAAAAGCCAGGTGTACTAAAGATCACGGCTTTCACAGAGCAAGTAGGCGGAGTTGACGATAGACTCAATTCTATCGGCGTTGAGCTGAAAGCCGTGGCTAACAAAATTGGAGTTTGTTTGTATTTCAACGTAATGGCTTGTAAAATTACTGATTTGAGCAGGGAAAAACTGGGGATTGAACCTGACGAGGCATTAGCAGTGAATTTTGCATTCAAATTGTACAGACTGCCTGATGAGAGCGTAACGACGGAGAATCTAAGAGATGAGCTTCTCCGGCGAGTGAAGGGGTTATCGCCGAAAGTGATAACGGTGGTTGAGCAAGAATTGAACGGGAACACGGCGCCGTTTCTAGCGCGTGTGAATGAAGCGTGTGGGTATTACGGAGCGTTGTTCGACTCGCTGGACGCGACTGTGTCAAGGGATAATTTAGAACGAGTCAGGATCGAGGAAGGACTGAGTCGGAAGATGGCTAACTCGGTAGCGTGCGAAGGGAGGGACCGCGTTGAAAGATGCGAAGTGTTCGGGAAGTGGCGGGCCCGAATGAGCATGGCTGGGTTCGTGCAAAGGCCCATGAGCCAACTCGTGGCTAACTCACTGTGTTCGAAACTTAACTCGGGGACACGTGGCAACCCGGGCTTTACCGTGAATGAACAAAGTGGAGGTATCTGTTTTGGTTGGATGGGACGAACTCTCACCGTCGCATCGGCTTGGCGTTAACTTAATTGTGTATCCCACGGAACTCATTGTCTTTATTCTCATAAAAGTGTTTCTTTTCTAATTAGTAGTAAAAGAAATATTCTGATTAGCTTATTAATATTAATTAATCTTCAGTGTGATTTGCTGTATTAAGGGTTCTTTTTCTTGTTATTGTTTACTTATTAATCAATTAGAATGCAGAAGAAGAAATGGATGAAGACCTACGTTTAAAAAAGGCTTGAATATTAATATTATGCTTTTATTTAAAAATATTGTGTTAGTGCATGTTTGGCTGTGGAGGCATTTTGATTTTCTTTAGGTAAGGTGTTTGGCAGAATGCTGACTTGTGTTTAGCTCTTAAAAACTGTGGGTCCACAAATTAGATTATTTACAAGGGTAATATGGTTGGTTTTAATTTGTTTCTGATTATAAGTAGTTCTTAGTTGGGGGAAGTACGTGTATTAATGAATTTGGTTCTATGGCTATTCTTTTTTCTTTATTTTCTTTAACTTTTTTTCCTTATGTTGTTGTTGTTGGTGTTACTTTTAACTAATTGAGCGTCGAGGGAGGTTCACGTGTAACTATTGTTTTATCACGTAGCCCACTGTCCACCGAATATTTTGCCAAAGGACTTTGTTTCTCACTTACGCATGTATATAATTAGGTGGTAATATACCAAATTAACAATTAAGCAATCCAATTTCATGTGAACTAGTCTTGCTTCATTTTTCTCCTTAAGATTGCACCTATTTTTTTGTAATCACCCTGCCATTTAACAGATTAGTAAAATAAAAGGCAGCCTTGTATACAAGGCATTTCGCACGCGTTCACGCAAGGTTTGGTGAAAGAGCCGTATTTCAAGGGGTGTAACGTAGATAATTTACCCTAATATAAGTATTAGTGACCGTTTCTACCGCTCGAATCCATGACCTATAGGTCACATGGAGATAAGTTTACAAGGTCCGGGAAAAGAGCCGTATTCCAAGAGGTGTAACGTAGACAATTTACCCTAATATAAGTATTAGTGATCGTTTCTACAGCTCGAATCTATGACCTACAGGTCACACGGAGATAACTTTTCGATTGTTCCAAGACGGCTTTGGGACAGGGGTAATATGTGTTATGTCGAGGAAGAGGCAAATCCGAAAATAAAGAAGATAAAGAACACCAAATTTTAACGTGGAAAACCCTTCAAATCGAAGGTAAAAACCACGGGATCACAAAGATCCAAAAAGCTCCACTATAACAATAATAGGGTTACAAAAGTTCTCCAAATTGGCTACACAACAAGGGCCAAACACGGAGCAACAATAGCAACAAGAGCAACAACTAATCAATTGAAGAAAGAGTATAATCCACAAAACGAAGCTGTTGTTTGAGGCTCGAAATCAGATGCTACGAGCATCCAAATCCGATCTCCACCGTACAAATCCAAGATCAAGATGTTACAAACACTCAGTCAAAATTTCAGCCCGATCCAACGGTTAACAAATCAGAAAACGTGATCTGAAGTTGGCTGGTCGGAATAAAAATTTGCAGCAAAACAAATACTTTTTTTTCTCTCTTCTCTCTTGATGAAAGCTCTCTCAAAACCCACTCTTATGTGATTAAGTCTTTCAAAGACTTGTATCAATGAGCATAGAATAATTCTCCAAGGTTGTCCTATTTATAGATCATGAGTGGTGCTTTCTCTTAAAGCCAAAACCCACTCAAAATAGGAATAAACCGAATCCAATTCCAAATAGGATTGGAAACCAAAAGAGAATAGGATTAGGCCATTGGGCCTTTGGCTGGACAATATGGGCATGTGCCCAACAAACTCCCCCTCCAGCGAAGGGGCCAAATGTGTCTTCAAGTAGAGGAACTATCGACAGGCTTCGTGCCTGCCAATTTTCTACAAAATTCATGTTTATCTGCAACCACCGCCTTTATCAGCATATCCGAAGGATTTTCATCAGTGTGTATCTTCTCAACCTCAAATAATTTCTCTTCCATGGCCATTCTTACCCAATGATACTTTCTATTTATATGTTTGGTCTTAGAATGAAAAGTGGAGTGCTTGGTGAGACAGATAACACTCTGATTATCACAAAATAAGATGTACCGTGGCTGCTCAAAGCCAAGATCATTAATAAACTCCTTCATCCATAATAGTTCTTTGGCACCTTCTGTGACAGCAATATATTCGGCTTCCGTGGTGGTTAGAGCTATGCACTTCTGTAGTCTAGATTGCCAAGAAACAGCTCTCCCTGCAAAAGTGATCAAATAACCGGAAGTGGATCTTGAATTATCAAGATTGCCTCCTAAATCAGAGTCTATGTAACAAACAAGTTCAGGCTTGCCATTGCCAAAGCACAGCTTCAAATCTACAGTACCTTTTAAATACCTTAATATCCATTTTACTGCATCCCAATGTTCTTTTTCAGGATTGGAAATGAATCTGCTAACAGTGCCAACGGCATGTGCAATATCTGGTCTAGTGCAAACCATAGCATACATCAAGCTACCAACGGCAGAAGAGTAAGGAATACGAGACATCTCCTTTTTCTCTTCATCAGTAGATGGACTCTGACTACTACTCAATTTGAAGTGTTTAGCAAGAGGAGTACTAACCACTTTTGCATCTGTCATATTGAACCTCTTGAGTACCTTCTCAATGTATTGCTTTTGGGACAGAAATAACTCATTTCTATCTCTGTGTCGGTGGATTTGAATGCCCAAGATTTTCTTTGCTGGCCCCAAGTCCTTCATCGCAAACGATTTGCTCAACTGCTTCTTAAGGACTGCAATTCTGGATTTATTCTTTCCAACAATAAGCATGTCATCCACATAAAGTAATAAAATAATAAAATCATCATCAGAGAACTTCTGGAAGAATACACAGTGGTCTGAAGAAGTTTTCTTGTACCCTTGTTCTTCAATGACAGATTCAAACTTCAAATACCATTGCCTTGGAGCTTGTTTCAATTTATACAGGCTCTTTTTCAATTTGCAGACATAATTTTCTTTTTCCTTAGTTACAAAACCCTCAGGTTGCTCCATATAAATCTCCTCATCTAAATCACCATGAAGAAAATCAATCTTGACATCCATCTGCTCAACCTCTAAATCTAGACTTGCGGCTAAGCCTAGAACCACACGAATAGAAGACATCATCACAACAGGGGAGAAAATTTCATCAAAGTCAACTCCCTTCTTCTGGCCAAAACCTTTAACAACTAACCTCGCCTTGTATCTAGGCGCAGAGGTATGGTTATCTTGCTTTATTCTGAATATCCATTTGTTAGATAAAGCTCTCTTACCTTTCGGCAATTTCACTAACTCATATGTGTCATTCTCATGGAGTGACTTCATCTCATCTTCCATCGCTTCGATCCAATGATCTTTGTGATTATCTTGCATGGCTTCATCATAATTCTCAGGTTCTCCCATGTCAGTCAAAAGTACATACTCATCAGGAGGATAGCGCATGGATTTTTGCTTCTCCCTTGTAGATCTTCTAAGAGAGGTTTCAGGAGCATTCGTAGTAGTTACCTGTGCAGGAATTGGTTGCTGATCAACCACAACTTCATCAACTGGAGCATCCATAACATCTATACCATGATGATCATTTTGATCTTGATCACTATCTCCATCATTGTCTTGGGTTCCTTCATGTGCAATAGGTGCCTTAGCAATTGAAACTGGATCAATGTCAACTAAGCTCTCATTACTCTGAGAATCTATCTTCTCAGCTTTGTCAATATCTTCAATACTTTGGTCTTCAAAGAATATTGCATCACGACTTCTAATAAGTTTATTGTCAACTGGATCATAAAAACGATACCCAAACTCATCTTGACCATAACCGATAAAGATGCACTGCTTAGTTTTGACATCCAGTTTCGATCTCTCATCTTTAGGAATATGCACACAAGCTTTACACCCAAAAACTCTCAGGTGATCATAAGAAACATCTTTGGCAAACCAAACTCTGTTTGGGACATCACCATCCAAAGCAACAGCAGGAGACAAATTGATAACATAGGCAACAGTGTTAAGTGCTTCCGCCCAAAATGTATTTGGAAGTTTAGCCTATGAAAGTAAGCATCTAACTCTCTCAACTAGAGTTCTATTCATCCTCTCTGCCAAACCGTTCAATTAAGACGTCTTGGACGGAGTTTTCTGATGACGAATTCCTTGTTCCTTGCAATAGTTATCAAAGGGACCACAATATTCACCACCATTGTCAGTGCGAATACATTTTAATTTCTTCCCCGTCTGTCTCTCAGCTAAGGCCTGAAATTCCTTAAACACGCCAAGTGCTTGATCTTTAGATTTCAAAGGATACACCCAGAGCTTACGAGAATGATCATCAATGAAGGTCACAAAGTAAAGTGCACCACCTTTTGACTTTACTTTAAAAGGACCACACAAATCAGAGTGTACTAGCTCTAATAAATCGGGCTTTCTTGAGGGAGGATGACTATGAAAGGAAACCCTTTTCTGTTTGCCAGCTAAACAATGTATGCACCTTTGCAGCTTTGCTTGTTTTACTCCAGAAAGCAAACTTTTCTTAGCCAAACACGTAATCCCTCTCTCACTCATATGACTCAATCTTCGATGCCATAATTCTGACAAACTATCACTTTCCACCAGATTTATTGAGTCATTAAGAATAGAGCCTTGTGTCACATATAATTGACCAGACTTGACTCCTCGAGCCACTACTAACGAGCCCTTGGTGAGCTTCCATTGGCCGTTAAAGAGAGCATTATGGTAACCTTCATCGTCTAATCTTCCTGCGGAGATCAAATTGAAAGGAAAGTCTGGAGCATGCTTCACATCTTGAAGAACTAACGTTGAACCATTATTAGTTTTCAAACAAACTGTGCCAACACCAAACACCTTAACTTCACTGGCATTGCCCATCTTTAACACTCCAGAATCAACATGAGTATAAGATGAGAAAAAATCTTTTCTTGGTGTGACATGTGAGGTAGCTCCAGAATCTACTATCCAGCTCGTCTCATGGGATACCAAATTGATGACGTTTTCATCATAAGCAAAAAGAAGGTCATCTTGTACAATAGCAGCAACATTGTTCTCGTTATTTTCAACTTTCTTTCCTTCTCTAGTGTCTTGATTCAACTTGCGGCAAAACCTTTTGATGTGTCCTTTCTTGCCACAGTGGTTGCATGTAACATTATAGTATTTGGACCTTGACTTACATCTACTT